TGTACAACAGCACTCATTTTCCTTCTGCTTTAATTATGCAAGGAAATTAAACACCTTGCAATGCAGACATTACTCTCCTACAATAGTGTACAAGGATGGCTTGAACACAGAAGACACAAACCTCTTGGGTAATGCACAGCAAATTTCTATTAAAAGCAAAGAGCTAGCTTCTCAAAAAGCAGGAATAGCTCCCACATTTGGTGGACTATATCCTCCTCGTGCTATACATGCTATGTTAGTAATAAATTGTCCACCCCCATCTCTGCTGCTGTCAACACTGATGAGTGCCCAGCACTGTGCTGTACAGCTCAGCTAGTATGGGGATTTGAGCCGCTGCTGTCCATCATCTGTTCCTTCTCCGCCTACAAACTCAAAAATGAAGGAGAAAGAGAAACTTCCTGCCAGCATCCATTTTCAGACTTCAGAGGAATGAAATCTGAAAATACCCAAAGCAGATACAATGCTTCTTTCTCTGCCCCACCCTTTGTCTTCTGTATTTTCTGGTTTTGGAGGGTTTCCTTTCTGCCACAGCTGGGACCTAGTCTGTCTTCTGTGGGAATCAGGAGAGAAGGGAAATAAATACATATTTCATAAAACCTTGGTCTCCCCCTTCTACTCACAGGCTCTGTGGGAAGCACTGTCTTAGAGCAAATATTTTTATAAGACACAATTGAATTAGGAGAAGGTATATTGCTTTAAACCCTGGGGGCCGCATCAGTTCCAGAGCTGAAACGTCAGCATAGCAGCACTAATACAATACGTATGAACAATGTGGGCTACTTACATAATGAACTCTGTCTCTTCTGAGCTTCAAATGTGAACTCAGGCTTTACAGTCATACCCATAAGATGATGCTCTATAACCTAAACCACGATGTTACTGCCTTAACTGGATGTTGTCTTGGACTCCTATGCACTGGCCAAGGAAGGGGCAGGGGTGGGGGGAAGTCTCCTTCCCTACAGTACACGGTATATGGTTTCCTGACAGTTGCCAGAAAGTATTGGTGTCTGTAAAACAGAAAATTATGAAGAAACTTCAGTGCATGAAATAGACTGAGTAGCCCACAAAATTATGGCCAGTGGGCACACGTAAACTTCTGCCTTAGTGCTTCCATGGGGGCTCAAGAGAACTGCCCTGTAGCCCAAAGGATGCATGTCCTTGAACCTAGAGTATCTCATTCCAGACACTGGAGGATACCTAACCTCTCTTCTGTATAGTCTCTAAAGAGCTCCTACTCCTGTGTCTAATGCCACCAAAGCAAACTTTCTTCCAGGAAAGAGAGTCTCTAATTTTATCTTTTGGCATCCTTGTAGCAGAAAGAGAGTGTAAAGTGGTGTACAACTTAGCTCTCTCCTACTGTATGTGTTGCTATATACAGAAGTACTGTAATACATGCAGAGCAAACACGACACGACTATCATCTCCTCAGCTATGTAATACAGAGTATTTATGATAAATCCGTAGATACGTGTTTCTGAACATGACCCAGTTTAATGAGAGGAGACATCAATAAAGTGGGTAAGATTCTATCTGCACTTCGATACTGTGTTATATAGGTTTTGGAGTTAGTGTGGTGTGTTTTTCTCCCCCCGCCTCCATACTGCAACTTCTGCAGAGGTTAGAGGAAACTCTCTTTCTATTCAGATAACTTCTGACTCAGGTCAGGAACTTCCTCATCTGCAAATGAGAAATATCCTCAGATAATTGAAAGTTTCTATGCAGTCCTTTTACTTCTAACACCAGGAGAAATGTAATAACGGCACTGTTTTACTAGAACAATAAAAAAAAGAGTGTGTAGAAAATGGTAATCTTTTAGCCAGCTGGATGGAATGAAAAGAACTGCATTACTGGCATTAGTTCCACAAATCAGAATCAGATGAATCAACGCCTGAGCTGTAAAAGGGAGACAATTATTTTTAATAATTTATAAAAATAAATAAAAAGTACTTAAAAATAAAGTTCTGCTTTAGCATTAAGGCTAAAAGGTAAAATAACATTTTCTTGTCAGAAAAATTTTAATATACCTTTTCCCCTATTTTTCTATTATTTTAAAAATATACAAGTAGGGGGAAGTGACAAAAACAACAGATGACAGATGTCTTCTGCCACGTGTCAAGTCAAATTAAATCTATGCTCTAAAATATACTTCACCATGAGTACTGATGGCTAAATAGTGACCTGCTGTCATACACATCTCTAGAACAATCATGCTTGAGACATTCTGACAAAACTACTTCCCACATACATATGCCATCTAAACATATTTGCACCAGTTCGGACTGTGTTGCTAGAACTAAGACCAACTATATTATAGAAACTGGAAACCTCTGCTTAGAAAACATCAAGTCCTGTGAAATCAGCCTCTGTTCCTCAGCTGCATTTTGACAGCATCAAATATTTTTAGCTGAAGCCATCTTCAAAAATCACAGCTAATACAGCATTTCAGGCACGTATAAGCACACACAGAAATGTAAATAAGAAACTATGCTCCAATCATTAAGAGTATTCACAAAATTCCGAACAGCTTTAAAGGTTGAACACCCTCAAGTTCTCTGATAGCCCATCTATTCCTTACAAGTTCACCTTCATCTTCACTTTCTTTTTATTTTTATTGAAGCCCTGCACTGCTTTGCTCAAAGCTTAGGACAAATAAATAAATAGGCAGAAGTTAAAATAAACATGCAAGGCCTGGGAGTCATGTTTTTTCAACTAGCAATGGAAATTAAAGTATCCAGAGAAAGGCTATTTTTGTTAAACTGTGTTAAATAGTAGAGAGGGAGAAGAGGGCTTTACAGACAAGAATCTCGTGGCTAGCCATATTTGCCTTGATTGTACAGATATAAATGAGAATCACTACTAAAATTTCTCATGAAGGTGCTAAAGCAAAAAAACCTGATGGTTCCATAATCAGGTATTTCACATACTGAAAGTCTTACTCTGCTTGCACCAAGTTCTAGGTATTTCTGATGTTTAAGCATTTTCTAGAACACTCACAGGAAAAATGAGAATATAAAAAACCCACTTCATAAAGAACCACAGTCAAACATTTTTGTGAATACGGACTTCCATTTCTTATGTTTTCAAAAACGTATCTGTAGCAGGTTTGTGTGTTTAACATGTCAGCTCCCTTAAAAAGTATCCTCTAAAGAGGAAGTTCTCTACTAATACAAAGGCCTTACTGGAAAAGCAAAAAATAAGCCTTTGTTACTGAGAAAGCTGTAAAAATAGCTAAAAGGTATGCAGAACTCCTGCACAAACGGGCTAAAGACAGACTAAATCCAGAAGTAAGGTAAATGAAATTAAAAGAAATATCCAAGGGATTAATTTGATGAATAATAAATCAGAAGGATAATTCACCATCACTAATGTTAGAGCATATTGCCATTAGGCATAATATGTGGGTTAAGAACTAAAACCCAGTAATTCTTGCCATTAGGCTAAAAAATAATAATTTGCATTTAAAAAACACATTTGTCAAGGTTTCCTTTTCTTTCACTCTCTTCAATTCTGAACCATTAAGTGCTGCAGCTTTTTCCCTAAGCAACTGAGTGAGACAACTAATAAGACCTCTTCTTATCATATGACTCTGCAGAACCTCCTGTGTGATTTTGTTCCCCTTCCAGTTCCAAAAAAGTCTTAATAGACTCACAAGAAGAGTATGATTCACCTCAGCTTGTGGAATGGGTAACCCGCAACAGAGTGGGAAATCCCAAATACAGATTAGAAGACTTCATATCAGCAAATTCAGACATGACCTGGTCCCTAAATTGGAATAAAAATACACATAATAGTGTGCAAAAATGGAGCCAGAGCCTTCTGTACAAACCCCAGCAATTCAGAAACTAACAAATTCCATGTTATTATTCTAAAATTTTCAGTAAACATCTGCATATCAATCTGTGAGTTTTTCCAAACTGCTGCAATACAAAATCACAGTTTGAGTTGTGCAATTTGCTAGTATCAAAAAAGGGTGGTAAAAATCCTACTGGCCTGCCCGCAGGTTCCCCTAAATGTCTCTCAGTGTTTATATGCTGGCCTTTGCTGTGATCCCACAAGGAGGAGGTTCTGAGTGTGCACTACAGCATACGGGAAACCGAGTAGGACAACTGTGTATAAGATGAACAGCAAACCATTCCTCCTGTCACAAGAAAGAAAGAAAAGGAAAGGGAGACTCCTCTCGCCACTGCCCCATTCATAGGAGGTATGGCAGATCCACAGCAGCAGAAGTTAAACCCAAAAACATTCCTTAAAGTCAAAAGAGGCCTTTCTTACCTGATGGTTTCACCAGAAACAGGGCTCCTGCATCAGTTACAAATCTTGAACTCCTACTGCACGAGCCTCTGCCAAACTTAATTTGTCTGTTGTATACGAAATGTACAAATGATACAGTAACAGTTACTGAAACAGCTGTGAATGAATCATCAGCTACAGTAAACACCATTTAGAAAGCCCTGATCAAAACATCTTGGTAATACTGCAATTTTTGGGAATTGCAAACACAGAGCTAGACTATCCCTAGACTCGCATAATCTGCTGCTCTCTGAATCCTTCAAAATCATCTAGAAAAAGAAGAAAGCAGGGGCAAGAGAGACAAAGTGGCAGGGAAAGCAGGTCCTTTGCTTTGCCTTCATTTTTCCCTCTTATACAACTGTTTTGTACCATGGAGATTGGAAAGCAACAGCAGACACGCGACCTCTCCTCAAGCTCCTCATACACAGTCTGGCTTCTCAAAAACCCTTGCCATCTCACTGCATACATAGCAAAACACACCGGCCACTTCCCCCGCTTTTTTGAAGAACAGCCTACAGTTACTTACAAAAACGAGAGGTGAGATAACATGCACAAACCAATTTTGGACATGACTCAGAAGCAAAAAATAAAAGCGCTAACCTTTCACGACCTTCTTCACTGACTACATTTCATTGGTCATGTCAGCACAAAACCCAAGCAGGAGCCTCGTCATGCTGTTTCCACCAGACAGCAAATACAGCTTCCAGGACTAACTTTGTTCTGAAAATATTCCGCAATATGCCAGGTCCTGGGTTTTTTTGGGTTTTTTTTTGTTGTTTTTTTTTTTTTTTTTAAATCGATTGCTGCTGGTTTTCATCACCTAAATCTAGCTATTCTTTGTGAACAGATAGAATTGGCAAATTAAAGAATATATGATAAATCACCTAAATATAAACATACAGATTACATGTATCAGTTGTCACTGGATTTACTCTGTTCCCTTAATATGGTTGCATATTTTGTGACTGTACAAGTAAAACCAGAATCCATCTATTCATTGCTTTCAAACTATCACTGTAATAGACAGTAGCAAGTCTTTATATAGGCCCCTAACCAACTTAGGGACTCTGTGGCAGGGAAAAGACAAAAGAAAAACCACACCAGGCAAATCAAACTAAGCAAACACAAAGTCTAACTAGACTTAATTCTAAACATAAAATTTACTTCTGTAAAAACAGTTTTCACTTCTTCGGTCTTTCCCACTTACAAGTTTGAAACTTTCCTTCCGCTGAGCCCCGTGTTCTTTTATAATAGGTATGATCTGCAAGCAGAGGTTGGCATAAGCATTTTTGGCTGTATTCATCTCTAGCTGTTCATCTCCAGCCTACTAGACTTACAGCAGGACTAAGATACAGAAGCACTTAAAATACTCACTGTCAAATAATGTCTTTTGTCTTCCAGCTTTTAATATTGCAAATTTTTCTGTAGTTCTTAGAATTAATTTTCTATTTTGTCATGTAAATGCTCAGGATTTTTTAAAGGAAACATACAGGGTACACACAGCAACACCTTGCACTGCTGGCTACAATATGGCTGTAATCATTTGATGAAGATACTATATTTACTCAGCTAAGTCAGGATTTGAAGACACAGAAGTCTAATGGCAAAGCATGCATGTGGAACAGCTACTGATTACCTAAAGAATAATCCATTTCACTCAAAAGATCAGTATCAATGAAATAGTACAAGTCTGTATATAACAAGGAATAAAAATCTCAGGGGAAAAAGGCTACTTTTTGCATGAATACACAGGAAAACAAGGTATACTTGAATTTAAATTCTGAATTTACCAGTCATGCCTCCTTTTTCAATGAAGTTGGTTAATCTTTCTAGTAATTTTCCTGTAGAACACATTCATTCCCCTTTTAACAATTCCCACACTGGCACATAAAACGGCTACAAAATGCTCTTATCCTTCTGCGTTCACCGCTATCAACCTGAGGATCCCTACTTTTCATCCTTCTCTAGGCTAGCTACATTATTTTCCCAATCAAGTCCCTGTTTGTGATCTGAAGATCAGAAGCCTGACTGCATTAATATTCCCTGAAGTGTGGAAAACAGGCACAGCTGTTCTTGTTGTAGCAGATCACTGCAGCTTGCTAGCACTGAAAATATGAGGTGAAGCCGTGCCCGAACCTCTGCTCCAGCTATTTCTTCTTTTCTCTTTTTTGTATCCTGATAAGCAGCACAAGCAGTATTATATAGGGTAAGCTGTAATTTCAAAAGGGCAGACTTGCTGACTTTTTTCCAGGGGGTGAGAAGCCATTTCAGGGGGACTGTCCAGGGGTATCAACATCCATGTGTGCTGGCAACCTCACTGAGAGCAGTAAGTGGAGTTACAGTGGGGAAGAAAGACAGGTCAGAGACCCACACCTCAAAATAAGAGGGACTCTTCTAATGTAAAGGTATGAAACATTTCTCTATGTGCAGTAAGAACACATAAGGCTGAACAGCAGCTCTATCATGTTCCAAATCCACCAGTCAGTGCCCTACTAGCTCAGACTTAACACTAGCATAAAATAACTTCATGTCTTCTTAACGTATCCACGTCATGCACAGGTAATACAAAAGCATCTTATACAAGCACCATGATTTTATTAGTGGACATGACTTTGGTAGCAGTAAACACATACATAAAAACCCCATGCATACATACAAAATGTCCTGATTTCTACTCCCTTTATTGTCTCTAACTCTACAAACACCATCCTATTATTTCTATATAGAAAATAAAACCTGACAGCCCCGACGGTTGTTTCTTAATTAGTATTGCACTTCTCCGATCAACAGAAAAAAGAACATAATTTTGAATGAGGTAAGAAGTGACAAGGAAGATTTGACAGTGAAAGCACCTGAGCGATGACATATTTACAAAGGGCTTGGAACTATGGAACAAAGTCATAAAAAAATGCAGTAGCTGTGAATAAATTGATGATCTGAATAGTTATGAAAAAAATCAAATAAATGGTTTTCAATGAAAACAGCAACTAGGTCTAACAAAAAAAAAAGTCAGAATTAATTTTCATAACTTTGCATTTAACTGGGGGTTTGATTCTTTATTTACTGAGTTTTCCTGGGACAGATTAATGTATTCACTCTGCCCAAGGACATACGCTTGTGTACGAACAAGTTGCAGCACTGTCACTTGCCGGAACTATAAAGAATTCCGTAGATGCCCACAATGTCATCTCTATTACATTAGCAACTTTGGGATAAAGTATCAGAAATTCTGGTATGGGGGAGACAAAATAAACAAAATTATCAGATTTTTCATATGAATTTTACAAATCTAACATGTGTAACTTCTGCAAAGCAGAACTGGTTGATATCTTAGAAATCATTAATAAAAGTGTTAGATTTCTGCAATCATTTCTCTTTCTCCTCCTGCTGACCTCTGCTTAGCCCATAATGAGAGTCATTCTCTATGTTACGCCTTCTGCTCAACACTGTCTTACGCTTTACAAATAATATTAGGACTCTCTTAAATATTACTTTGCTTCCATTTAATTCTTCTACTTTCTCTGGCCCTTCTTCTATAAAAAGGTTAAGAAAAGAAGCTTTTCCTGAAGAAGGAATGAAGAACTTTTCTGAAGGACATTACTTTCCTTTCTGAAGGCCTAGTCACATCCGCTGAACGTATGATGCTTCGGGGGCCAAATACTCCATTTGCTGAGTATTCTCAAAGCCCGATCAAGCCTACCAGAGCCAGTGTGCAAAGCACAGCGCAAGACTAAGACTGGAGGGAGGCCGGTTTAAAGATGCCTGACACATCTTTACAGTTTTTTGTACCAGCTTCCTGTGCGTGGAGATAAAGTAATTGTAAAAAGACAGAAGAAAAGAACTAACAAAGATAATTACCTTCAAGAGCTGCCATTTTGGAGAAAAATCTCAGCTTTCTCTCATGGATATAACTGGGATCTCGACAAAATATCATGTTGCCCAGAACTGTATTTATTAAAGGACTCTCCCAGAAATTAAAGCTTCTCTAGGAATGAAATTTAGGCCTCTTCCACCTCAGTCAAACCAACTTTACTCAGCCATAACGTCTAACTATCATTTACAGGCTGAACAAGGGACGAAGGATTCACCATCACAAGAGACACACAATTTCCTGCAAATACTACTCAAAAGCTGCACATCACTATCACAATTTTGAGTATTGTTAGTGTGCTTTTTAGGTAGAAAAAATTCATTATTTATGATAAAATATCCACAATCGTAGTGTTAATGGGAAAAAACTTTTAATGAAATTGGGCCTCATGCCTAATCAGCACCACATCAGAAAATGGGATTATAATTAGAAATGGATCAAAATCACAAGCAAACTTTTTGTTTTGTCAGGCACGTTACACCCACACAGCCCTGGCCTATTTCAGATTGGCTGTGACAGGAGTAACAAAGCCAGATCTAGACACACGAACTTGCAAATACCAATAAGGCTGGCTAAGATTCTGTAGGTCCCTTTCTTATAAATGGCTTCATGGACACTGCTGTGACATTCATTCCTCTCGGCAGCTGCAGACAGCTAAGGTGTGGAATAACATATGTAAAGTCTGCAACACTCGCAATTTGTCTCTATCCCTCATTGGTATCCAGATGTAGAGCTTACGTGTCAGGGGCAATGACTTTGTTGGGATTTCTGAACTTAGATGTTTAGGCATTTTTGCAAATCATTAAAAGTGATGGGAACAGCTGTATAACGTGTATTTACCAAACAAACTTCAAGCTTTCAGTCTTGAAAAAGTTAGCATACTCTGAGCATGCAATGCTTAAAACATGTTGGACCTGGGACAAAAATTTAGAATAGTTTGGTAATTAGCCATTAATACACAGGACAACGAATACTAGTAGAATTTTGTAACGTCAGATAATTCTAGTTGCTATTCACAACACCACACGTAAAGCATGGTGATCTAGGAAAGATCACTGTGTGCATTTACATACAAGCTATATACAAGGATATAATCAAGAACATTTTTAAAATTAAAAAATGTTTTGCTAAAAACATAGAATTGTGAATGTGATGAGCCAAAGACTAGAATAACTTTGTTAAATTGCACTATTGACACTAATTTAGATATAGGGCTAGATTTCCTCTCAACACTGAGATCAAAAATTAAAGAGTTCAGTAGCCATGGAAGCAGTTACTCCCCAGATCCCTCAGCAAGCATTCTTAACCACATTCCTATCCTATATACTAAGATCTTAGCATGCTGGTATAATACCAATAGAATAAATAACAGTTATAAGACCATTATAATAATTTGTGTACCAATCTAACACAAAATTTCCTCCAATCAGAAACATGTTCAAATTAATCTAGAGCTATTACCTAAACAAACTAGCAGTACTCAATTAACATTTCACTGCTAACTGAATTATAATGAACACAATAAAATTTTCCAACTATTAAATATTACAATGGAAATATTGGTAACTAGACAAATCCAAAAAGAAAGGTCAAATTACAATTCTGAATATCAAATATGACTCACAAACTTATTGAGGCTATGATGAATTCAAGTCTCTCAAAGTATCAGGGAGAACATTTGAAATGAGCATCATGAAGCTAGGGTTCTTGGCAATTAAAATTCTTACAATCAATTTATTAACTAAACAAACTAGTAGCATTTAAATACTCCACGTGATTCTTTGTAAATGCGAGTAGATTTTCAACACTTCTAAAATATGTCAACATATCACTGCCATCAGGTAGCAAC